CCCCCCGCACAAGCCTGTGCATGCCTGAGTGCCTAATAACGCCACCCGTGCGCTCCGCCGGCCTGATATTTCGACAGATTAACAGCCTGCAATCTGCCAGTGTTCACCCACGCACGCAGCTTTTGTCACATGGGCAACATTCTCCCTTAAAACATGCCAAGCGCTGACAAAAATAAAGGCCTTTATTCAGCATTAGGTTTATGTAACTGGATTCAGAGCCCTACCTGTCATCATACATAGTAATCCTTCGTAGACCTCCAACAAACCCCCCCCGCCCAGTTTCAGGGGGTGTGGCTTCCACATCCTACACCTTAATGCTACATCAGATGTGGTTTTATGAGATGTGCTACATTTCAGGACGCTTCGATTTCGGGGAGGGCTTCATGAGAGAATGTGTGAGATGAGCTCAGATCCCATTGGAGGACTCAAGCCTGGATAAGTGTCACCCAGCTGACTGATTGGGAGATATAAGACGTCTAACACTATGGTTAGAAATCTAAAATACTGCTCAGAGATGGATAGTTCAGGTCCAGAAAGTAAAAATCCAGACCAAGATTTTGTTTCAACCAAGCAGTTGAGTACTCTGTGACTGTGACTCTTTATGCTGAAATGGTTGGTTGAAACAAAATCTTGGTCTGGATTTTTACTTGGACCTGAACTATCCACCTCTGATAATGCTAGCTGCATTATTAGTTATGCGATCGATTATTAATCAATAAATCAATAATTGCATCAAATTAATCAATAGCTCTTTATTTATAGGCTAGAAGCGAATGAGATGCTTTAATCGAATCATTTGTACCCTATAGCCATTATTTTGCTTGTGTGTCATATGATGCAGGTTTATCAAGAGTCATGGGAATTTCCCTGAATTGCATCAAACTGGCTTCTTGTCCCTCTTGTAGCTCCCGAGCCCAAATCCTGCAAACTTGGCTCTCTCTCATTTTCTGTTTTTCTGGTTCTTCACAGACACCTGATTTTATTTTCCATGGAATTTGGATAGCAGATAAGAGGCATGAGGTTATTCTTGTTTACTTTGTGAAATAAGCTCATTCTATCTCAGACAGATGTCCTTCTCGAATGGTAACCATTGGTAACCAGTTAATTCTCAAAATTTTCCTCTTCGACTCAGTGAAGATACACTTTCTGGTATTGTAGTCATGAGTGGTTATATCCAGGCACGTGCAGAAGGCGAGGACCGAGGGGTATCTGAGCACCTGCCCCTTTAGCCTGAACTGTTTAAAGGTACAGAGTGCTCCTTTAATGTTTGCGGCAGAAGCTTTGAGGCCCTGCCCCTCAAAACATCTCTGCACGGTACAAGTTAACGCAGGATTGAAGAATGAGCTTTGCATTGGCAGATGGTGTCCGGAAGCTTCAGTTATTAGTGAGTAGAGTCAGGTGACATAACCGCCGCTCACCCATCACTCTGATTCTCTTGCAGGGGGCGTCTGCATCTCTCAGTCAGTGAAGATCCCCCGGGAGCCCAGGCCTGGAGAGTTCGACAAGATTATCCGTCGGCTGAGGGAAAACCCCAACGCTCGCGTGGTCATTATTTTTGCCAATGAAGATGATATCAGGTGAGCATTTTTTTTTTTGGTGGGGTGGGGTCTTTCTACAAGTGAACACACCAAGACAGTAGCTTTAAATAAAAACTTCAACATACAACAAAATCTACAACAGCAGGGTAGCCCAGTTCCGGTCTTGGAGGGTCAGTCTGCAACACAATCTGCAGGTTTCCCTGCTCAAACACACCTTATTCAGATCAACAGCTAATTGTTGGGTTTAGAATGTCTGTTTGAGCAGGGAAATCTGCAAACTGTGTTACAGACTGGCCCTCCAGGGCCGGAATTTGGATGAATAGGAGGCTTGATTTCATAGGGCCACAGTGGGCAATTTTAGCCATGGTATCTGGGTACCAGCCCTTCCAGTCACTCTGAATCCACCCAGCTAACCATCTTTAACCCAAACTAGCTGGATGTCAATCACCAGCATAACCTGAGCGCTAAGCCACGCCCACCTCCATCACCCTGTGTCATTGTTGTACATCTCATCAGTGTCACAGAAAATACATAAAGTCCACATTTTCTTGTCACCTCCAAGTCTGGTGTAACCATGGTGTAGTTAGTGAGCACAGGGTGGGGAGGAGCTACAGGAGTCAAAGAAATGGGAGTCTGAACATAGGTGGGGGCTGCAGTTCAGAGCTGGGTCAGCCTGCATGCTCTGGATCGAGCGGGTCGCGACCTGACCTTGCCTGTCCCAAGGTGGAGGAAGGTTCGGAATCCAACATTCTGTTTTCTCCATGTGCCATTATCTCACCTTTGTTTGCTGCAGCCAGCCTGGTAAATCTGAGAATAATCTTCGCTGTTTCCCCTTCTGTTTCTCTGACGGAACTGACAGCTTATGTGTTGTTTTGTAGTCATCTTTGCGTGACTAATACCCGCTTCAAAAAAAAAAGAAACAAAACAGGAAGGCACGACTCGAGACACGTACTTCCGAACATTTACAATGACTTTCGTAAGATAACAACGCTGGATTTACGTAGCTCAGACTTTCTTGTGTAACCAGTCCTACCTCAGAATACACATGCTGGGTTGAGAATGGCCACACAGACACCATGGTTTGAAACAAGCCCAGCAACAGCACTTCATTTCACTGCTGGCAAATGGAAATTTCTCGGCACTGTAGGTCCTGGTCGGAAAAAAAGGGATGAAGGTCTGTGTTGCCAGTGCACCCCCCGGCTAACACGCGTCGGGTGCGGCTGCCCCCCCCCCCCCGATGTAGCCATCATGGCTGTTTGAGCATAGACCTCCAAAGCATCCTTCCCCTACTGCATCTGCTCTTCTGCCCGGTGCCCGGAAATCGAGCTTATATATGAGATCCACGCCTTGCTGGGACCAATCCCAGACCTTTCTGGCCCGATCCAGAACAAGACCAGGCTGGTGGGTTCTGACTGATAATTCCCCCCCCCTGATTCTTCCTCTCTAGTATAGATAGAGCTTTTAAATTATACATTTAGTGTATGCCTCCTTCAGTTTTTTTACAGTATGTTTTATGTTTCTTTGCTCTGATGCAAGTTTCTGCAAAGATGCATCACTATTGAAACACAGCAACACAAATGCAAACAATTGAAAATATTCTCCAGAACTCACTTTATTACCAGTATGTAGGAACATACCATAATTATTTGTAGTCAGGTGCCAAATATGAAGTATAGGGCAAAACATTACAAGACAAACGGAGAAACATTTATGTGTGTAAATGTTACATGCAGTTCTTCATATTCCAAGTTGTTACAGTAAAACTAAAACACAATAAAAATTAGAGATTAACGGAAGACAACTGAAAGCCCACTGTACAAGTAATAAATAATATCAGTGCAAAAAATGGCTGCAGCACACGGAAAACCAGCATGCGGGGAACAATATGCAAGTCCCACTGATGCAGAACAGAATGTTAACTGGATTAGTGTGCAGAATGAAAAAAATACACTGTTCACTGTTGTAGTGCAAATTAAACCAATAGTGCAATTTGCGGTTAAAGAGGCAGGCAGGAGAGGGTGGGATTCGTGCTTGGGTGGGTGAATATCACGAGGGAGGTGGGATTTCTGAGCTACTGGGGCTCTGTTGCATATTAGTATACTGCAGATTGCCTGTTTACAGTTTAGTTATGGATATAATTGTATTTAACCCCCTGGAGTCTGAGGCCAGTCAGCCACGTTTGAGGTAATCTGACATGCTGTGACATTTTTACATAGTTCACCTATTTATCCCAAACTGCCACATATGACTTTACTCAGCACAAACCCAGCACCAATAATCTGAGACCATTTACAATGTCATTCATGTGTTTTTTGATTAAATCAACTGCAAATATACACTTTTCGAAAACCTACTTTCGGGTGGTTTTCTCCAAAGTGAGGCAAATAGCACATTAGAAACGCACACGCCGTTTTGGAGTCGAGCGGCCATAAGTGTGGCTGGGCCGAGCTTCCAGTAAATGCCCAGTGTGTAAGCGTAAGCAGTATTGGAGAAGGAGCTATACAATATCTTCCAAATAAAGCAACAAAGAATTTGATAAGGCTGTTCAGTGAGCAGAATGTGCAACATTAAGGGCACTCAGAGAATATGGAACGCTGCTAGGCTGGTAGAGATATTCCTGGAACAGAAGGACATTGAGGTGTTTCTTGAAGGTCGAGGGGGAATCTGATGATCGGATGAGGTTTGGAAAATGTTACTTTAGGGTGTACGTAAAGATTAAGAGTTTTGGAAGTGTATGATGATGACAAGGAATTTGTCATTCTTGGGAAGACAAAACTGTTTTTTTTGGGGGGGGGGGTGTGAGTGAAGGTGAGAAGCTGAGCTTGTCAGTGTGTCGTCACGCACCCCCACTGTTGTGTCCACATCGCCTACTGGGTGACACCAATGCAATCGACGGGAAAATAAAGCCGGTGGGTGTGCTTGGACATTATTCCCATCAGAAGTGTGGCACGTAGCCACTGAACAAAAGCATTTTCAGGTGTTTGGAGTATTATATATAATTTAATTCAGCAGTTAGGTGTTTGTGACCTAGTGCTCATAATTCTTCATATGTATATTTATGGACTGTGTGCCCACAGTGGGGCTGACAACACGGGGGGGGGTTAAGATGACTGGAGATGGAATGACGTGAGCAACTTATTTAGGCGTCTGAGTCGCTGTTCCTTTTTGAAATGATTGCTTATGAAAAGTTTATCCATTTCCTCTTAGATGCATAAGGACTTAAACTACCTTGTTCACCGGAGATTTGAAAGTCATTGATTAAACTGTGTTGAGTCAACACAGAGAAACGCAGGGGTCCTTACCTGAGAGGTGTTAGCCTAAGACTCGGTAAAACCCCTAGTCTGATGGGGGTATGATTCTGCTCTAGGCCCATCTATAGGGGGTCTGGGTAGCATTTTGCAAGGAAATCCTTAGGAAAGCAGATAAGATACAGTGAGTTAAGAAAGATGGAGAATAATGACCCTGGACATTAAATAAGAATATATTACTGCAAACCGATGAATAATTTCATTCTTTCTTGTAGGCATAGGTAAGCGTGGTTGGAGAGAAATCAGGTGATGGTTGTTTTGCTTCACTTATGCCTCATTAGCAGGTAACCGGAGCCTCTAATCCCTCCAGAACCTGGTCTCTGCTGTCCAGCCGCTTCCCTTTGCTGCAGCACTTTCCACAGCCTGATGCCTCCTTCAGGTTCTTGCACGTTTCACTCGCTGCAGATGCCCAGGCAGCTGCTCTCTGTTTACAGTCCCCCCGCCCTTTCATCAAAGTCACCCCCACGGCTTCTCCCCTCCCATGATGCCGTGCGCCATCCGGCCCGAAAACGCCATGCGTCCCAGCTGGACCAGAGCAGCACTGCCTGTCAGATTCATGCCAAAAATTAAAATGTTAATTCATTCAAATAAAGAAAAAACTGCTTTGTTTTCTATACGTTAGAATTTACAAAATGTGCTTGAAAACTCTTGCTTAAATGGCATTCATGATTTTAAATTAGAGTTTAAAATGGGGAGAGCTTTCAGTGTCCATCGACTTAGGTGTTATGCATAATTACTCATAAACATAAACATAGCTGATTATTATAATAATTACAGCAGACACGACAACAACGATTCTAATGTGAATAAGTAGCTGCCACTAGCCCAGTATGTATCAGTTATAAATGGCTTGTATTGAAGTGCAGTAAAGGCCTTAGCTTAAAACATGTGCTTTAACTCAAGAAGTTTAGCCGTTCTAGAATTCCATCCATCCACTCATCCATCTCCCCTAAGTGCCTGTACAGTGCAGGATTACAGCTGACCTGGAGTCTATCCCAGGAAACACAGGAAAGAGGTGTGGAACCCCCTGACTGGGATGCCTGCCCGCGACAGGACACACACAGACAGTGTCAGTTTAACCCCCTCGGAGAACCACACAAACAAGGACATGAAAAGTTCCAGTGCTAACTACTCAGCTAAATAGTTTAAGAGATTAAAATCACAGCAACGTGAACACAGCATGAGTCAGTGTATTACTGCTGTTGTCCACCTAATTAGTCACTTTTTCTCTCACAAGTTTGTTTTTAGTCTCCTAGTTGGCGTGAGCTTTTATCTATCTATGCCTGTGAATGCCTGCAGTACGACAGGCTCGTACTCTAAGATGGGCTAGGAGGTGCCACTGTTACTGAACATCACTTAACAAAGTGCTTAACAAAGTGCTGTGTCGGGACCTCGCCTCCTTCCCGTTTTTAAAGCTATGAACAGCCTCCCCGACATGCTGCCCTCATGCTCGCTGCCGCCCCCTACTGCCCGGTGCCTCAGTTTGCTCTTTTTGTCATCATCGTAATGAGGCCTTCTACTGTATACTTAGTCTACTCCAAGCTGCAATGTTTGTTGTTTTAAATACAAAGGAATAAACAAAAAGAGAGTGCAATAGAAAATAAATAACTATTTCCTTTCGATTGAACGTTCTTTCATATTGAAAGAATTCATTTGCCAAGCTCAGGAGCTGCCGCTCCCCAAACCAGCAGCTCGAGTCCCTAACAACGCCTCACCTATCAGTCTCCGGGTCTCCTAGCTTTGTGAGTGAGATAGATTCCCGTGGGGCCTTTAGTCAGAATTCTCCCTGAGAGTGAGTGCTGCCCATAGGCAGGATGGTAGGGCACTTTGCCAGAAATTAAGATGCAAAGATGTGTACAAATAACATGCTTGTCTGAAACAGTGGGGCCGCTTTCGCCTTGATTAGTATTTATTACCCTGTGAACAAAGGGGCCTTTTCCTGTGAATGCTGCTAATGGTTTCTTTGTTTCGTGGTGTTTTCTTATAAGTGTCCTTCATCAATTAAAAATAAGCACAACTCAGCAAACTGCGTCCACGTTCCGGGCCGGTAGATAACAGAACAATAGAATGCGAACACGGGTCTGTTGTTTTGTACAGATCATTAATTAGTTAAACAGGAGAGCTCACTGGAGGGAAATTGAAGCTTGGTTCAATCTAACTAATCAACTAGGTGCCAAAATCGCCAATTTTCATTACAGAGAAGAGGCTGAGCATTCTATCTGATCTTAATAATACATGAGTGTCATAGGTAGCACAGTACAATTACCTATTCATCTTCTGTATACGCCTGTTCAGTACAGGGTCAGGTTAAGGTCTTACTGAAGAGAGCACAGTATTTAGGTCCATCGCAAATACACAAAACCTCTAAGCCGTGGTTAAGTTGGTGATAGAATTTATTAGCAAACACTAATTGCGCTGATAGAGATTGCTGGATGAGTGTGTCTCCCCTTCCCCAGGCGGCTCCTGCAAGCGGCCAAGGCAGCCAATCAGACGGGTCACTTCCTGTGGGTGGGCTCCGACAGCTGGGGCTCCAAGATTTCACCGGTGTTACATCAGGAGGAGGTGGCGGAGGGGGCAGTCACCATATTGCCCAAGCGGACGACCGTCAGAGGTACAGAACCCCGCCAGCACCACCGAGGGCCCGTAGAAGACTGGTAGCGCTCAAATACAATCTGGCATCAAACAAGTCTCCCTTAAAGGATCATTAACTATGTATTTTGACGTAATTGTGTCCATTATGCATAAAAAAAAACTGGGAAGGCCTTTGGTGAATGTAAGAGTGAATGTCATATGACTGACGTGTGATTGTCATGGATTTATGCGGTCAGTTCTCTCTGAAAACATTTTCTTCAAATTATTAGTGCATTTAGAAAAGAACACGCAGGTTGTCGCATGTCAGGAAATCGTTCCAGGTGGTTCCGCGGCATTAGGGTGCGTAACTAAACAATCGGCTGAAGGTTATTGTAATAACTGGCTCTCCAAGGCCATTAGACCTGCCGGTTATTAAGTCAGGTCCCAGCGTGTGGCCCGCAGCAGAAAACCTAAAGTAATTCACAATCGTTTGCCCACTGTAGCTTGGAATTTGACAGTGTCTCAGTGCAATGTGAGTGAGGCGATGGGGGTGTCCACACTCCAATGAACCCCCCCTCCCATATACCCAGGCTTTGATCGCTACTTCATCAGCCGCACGCTGGACAACAACCGCAGGAACATCTGGTTTGCCGAGTTCTGGGAGAACAACTTCAACTGCAAGCTTAGCCGCCACGCCCTCAAGAAAGGATCCGGGATCAAGAAGTGTACAAGTAAGTTCCCGACACACTACCCCTCCTGTCTCTGGGAGCGTCTGGAGTGAGGGAGGTGTGAGGAGGAGAAGCGGAACGTCCTGTCTGACCTGTAGCATTAGACTGCAGGCGCTGGTACCCAGGGATTCAGGCAGGATGAATCATATTTACACAGCCACGTTCTTGGCTGAGATGTTTCTCCTGAAGGAGGACAAAGAGTCTCACTCCAGCTGTGAGAGAAGGCAAAGGTATGAACTGCCAGCACAGAAGCAGGCTCCCGCCATGGGCCTTTTAAAGGAATACTGTTCCATTGTACATCTCACATGTGTGGTAAAACACAAGTTATAATTATGATGATGATGACAATGATGCTGCTGATGATGATGATGATGTTCATGACGGTGATGACGAGGAAGATGATGAAGGTGATGATGATGATGACAATGATGATTATGATCATGATGTCATTGATGATTATGATGACGATGACAAGGTAGGTTCGATGGGCTGACATCCAATTCAGGGCATTCCCCAAACTAGTGGTCTGGCCTACCTGCAACAAGTCCCTGGCCCTTCAAGACAACGACCAAAAAACCTGCTTAGAAGATGGATGGATATATCGATGGATAAGAGGTTGCCATGTGACCTTATACCTCCCTTCTTTGAACAGATTTTCTCCTGCTGTAGATCTCCTCCAACAGTCTTGCAGTTTGGTTAATTTTGTCTCTGAATGGGCTTTAGCATGTGCTTGTCTGTGAGAGTAGGTGCCCTATGATGGACTGCCCTTCCACGGCACCTTATGCAAGGTTCCTCTTGAGATTCAAGATTCCTTCTGCAATCCTGAAGCTTATGGTGAGCCATTGTATGTGAGTGTAATTGTGTACACTACAATAGAATGGCATTCCGTCCAGAGTGTCCTGTGGAACTCTGTGGATAAGCAGTAACATAAGACAGACAGACGGATAGTAGAGTAGCTGGCCACAAATACTGTACAGTCACGCAGATGTATATAGCTTTAACAATTGAGGTCTTGTATTTCACCACTCCAGAGAGGTCAGTGGGATTCCTCTCGAGTACGTCTTGTGTGAAAACAGATCTGAGGAGCCTGATATCAACAGCCAAGGTTTTGCTCGACAGAAAGCACTTATTTGCCTCTAGACAATTCCAACATTTGGCTGTTAGTTATAGCCACCAGCCAGTATATCCATTTCAGATGAACACTTTTTCCCAGTAGGATTTTACCTGAAAATAAAAATTTTGCCCGTCTCCTTCGAAGGCGATTAAGCTTGCGGGCGGCGTTGCCTCCTGGTGCATCGCTGCCAGGTGCAATAGTGACTCGCTGTCATCCCGGCCGAAAATGCAATCAGCAGCGAACTCAATCAACCCCTCCGAGGCAAGAATGAATCCTTCGAATCAATAAGCTTTTCGGCCTGGCCGGTCCTCCATTCTCCCAGAGCTGGAGGGGAGGGGCTCTGGGTATTGGTTTCTCTCTTTTGTGTCCCCAGCCTCATCTTTTTTTGGACAGAAGGCAGCTCGTCTAGTGCCGGCTATATGGGACACTGTGATTGGTGAATGGTACAGGCCTAACGAATGAGAAGTGAGATATACATCTGCACCTTTTAATAGATTGCAAGGATAGAACTTAAGTTCACAGGTCTGAAAATAATAGTAATTTTATCATTTCACAATTTAAAAAAATGATTCATCTAGGTAAATATTAATTTATATGATTTATATGGAACTTAAAAAAAGATATAAAATTTCCCATAATACTTAGGTTTCTTTTTTACTGTTTTAATGAAGTTGCCAGGTGTGTCCAACCCAAGGCAATGTCACACCTTCCTGAAACAGACATTGAGTTCATTAGTATTCATTTGTTTGAATTCCCAGCTTTGTTCAAAATCAGAAATTCGGGTGTTATCTTTGTTAGCCAGACATTCGTTTCAAAAATAGCAAAAAATAAAAAAAGAAGGAAAGGGAAAAAAAAAAAAACCTTTGGAACATCAGTATATCAAAGTGTCTGAGAGCGTCTGGTGCTTCTTATCAGACTCACCAAGAATGTGGTGAAGGTCACCTGGGAACTTTGCTAGCCGGCTTTCATGTGGTCAGAATTGTGGCCCGAAGAGCGCTTCAGTATCGGGGCCTGAAATCAGAGCACTGACACCTCCCAGAAGCCGCAGTGGCTCTGAGGAATTAGGCGATCGACTGATAATGTCTTGCAGACCTTTTGTTTGGCCTGACGTTGATTTCCCCTGTTCTCAGCTTGACTAACTCCTCATGATTTTGCTGATGAATGTATAACATTATAGCGATAAGTACGACATTATAACACTATAATGTTACCTTTGTTGTTTTGTTTTCTAATTTTTAATAATCAGTATAATAAACAGCATCATCAGGTTAAAAAAAATCTTTAATCTTTATGATTTTCTCTTTAAATGTAATTTTCTTTTTGCTCTAAGGAATTAGTAGAGATGAATTAAGGAAGTAAACTGAGAATTAGTTCGAAGAAATTATGTAAACTTATTAACCACACTAAGAAAAAAATATTTTTCATCATGAAAACTTGTAATTAGATTTCTGTTTGAGATTTCATTTTTAAGTATTGAAAATATTAAAATGTTGTTAAATCTAAATAATAATAAATATAAATTACTGTACTGTATAATTGAATTGCTGAAAGTCTAACTAAAATGATCACATAAAACCAATGATTTGATAAGACATGTGCAGTTTGGCATAATTTTTGTTCTGATTTTTTTTTTTTATCAATATGTTTTCATAGATAGAGTTTTGTTTATGATGCTGCAGTACTTTCTTCAGGGAATGACTCCTTACAACAGAAATCTTGCCAGTGAATTTTTTAATACGTTGTCTTCTGTAAACTTGATACCTCAGAGGTCTGTGGTGGATGTGTTGGTCCTGGAACATTATTTCTGAAAATGAGGCATACTTTACGTAAGGATTACCTTCCTGGTATTTGTTACACAGCCCCTGTGCACCAAAACACAGGCATGGTTATGAGAGTGAGGGCAGAGAGACAGGGTGTCCTCTACGCAGCACCCCATCTCTCACTCTCACACAATCACTCTCCAGGCAGAAGCTCCAACCCTCAATCAAACCAGTACATTTTAGCTACAACTCACCTGCAGATTAATATTTTTGTCAAAATATGAATGCTTGCCACAGTTATGCTTTAAATAAGTATAATAATATAATAATCACAGAGAACCAAGTATCTGCAACAGATATTTTTCCCTCATTTTTATACAGCACAGCCCCTGGGGGGGGGTTGTGAATTTAATAAATCTTAAATTAAAAAGTGCAAATTAAAAATATAAATAAATTACAACATAAGGGATGGGAAATGTGTTACGAGATAGTTCTTAAGCAGTAAACCATTTAAAAATAAATAAATGACATGCTGTTAAGTTTCTACAGAAGCTGGTCTCAGCATCTCTGCTCCTTCGAGACTCTTGTGATGGGAGTTGACCTCTGGTGCTCGTTGTTCAGCAGCCTCCTGCTGATTTTGTTCTTCTTGTTGTTATTATTTTATTGTCGTTGTAGTCGGTGGTGGTGTTTGTGGTTGAAGTTTTTTTTTCTGTAAGTAAGGCTTAATGTTGTGTTGTTTTCTACTGCTGAATATGGCATGAGAACATGCTCCTTGTTTATCAAAGTAGTGGCATTACGGCAGAAGACCTTTTATTAATTTTTCGTACGAGTTGGCACCTGTGTTTTTCCAAATGCAAACATGTACGTATAGAGATATATAGCAGCAGGAAAGGGTATGATGAAGGGCTACAGTATCGTGGCTTTAGCGTTACTGGCAGGCCAGGTTCAGGATAAAGTGCATTAAAGACATGGGGTGGGGGGTGGGGGGGCAGTGTATCTCCCATGGCGAGGTGAAGTCGGGTGTGAGCCCAGCTGTACTTCAGAACCTAATTATTGTTGTATGAGTTTTGCTTTCTCATACAGTAAACCAGTAAACATTTCAGATGTTGGTGGATGCAGATATTTATCTCATAGGTGAATAGAAATCGGAGTCTGGCTCTTTAACCAGTGGTGGGGTTATTTGTTGGATTGTGACAGCAGTGAAGGGAAAACATCTCATTCTCAGTGATGAAGAACATGAAGACATAGGAGACACAGCCACACGTATGAGCGTATAAATTACCCTCCAGTAAGTAAGAGATATCTTATAAATAACAAATTGGGAGTACTGTACATATTCAGCAAATGCTCTTATGTATAATTATCCCTTTTATAATGCTATAAATATGTTTATTCCAGGACACTTCCACTACTTATTCACTTAATTTTTTTATAAATTTTTTTTTGTGGGGGGAGGTGGGCAGGTAGGGTTTAGACCTCTGTTGAGTTAAAGAGGTAAACTTACTCAGGCGACAAGTTATGTTTTCAAGAAAATTTCTGTGTGAGCTTCATGAGTTTTGAAAATTTGCTCTACAGTTTGTTCTGGCAGTGGCAGTGACTATCAATCAAATTCTGACATTTTTCTATCAGTACAGAGTGTCAATAATGGTGTGAGATTCTCACAGTCTGCACGCACTCGCCCTTTCAGCAAATTACTGCTTACATTACATCTGAAAATGCAGATGCAGCAGCTTATGTCGAAATCGACGCATGACTCATAAAGAGATTCGTCAGATTTGGCTCGTCAAAGCCGATGTCTCCCCGTGCCACAATTTCAAAAACAAAACCAAACAGAAAAAAAACAATGAAGAATAAATACATAAACATGAAATGCCAAGCTTTGAAGCAGATGTTTTATCTTATTGTCCCCTCAGGAGAGAATTTTTTTAAAATAAACCTATACTGGCAAGACTTTAGTGAGCAAAGACATTTCCATTTAAGTGTGCATAAATTCTGATGATTCTTCCTCATGGTACCAGCCATGAGATGCAGACACCCTAATATATTGTTTCCCAACCCGGTCCTCGTAGACCTCTAGATGGTCTACATTTTTGCTACTCCTCGGCTCCCTGCCATCCAGTTGACATTTC